GGAGCCACGGTCGCGTTTCGAAATCAAAATTATTTATTCGGTCTGTTCAACGTTATTTCTGATACAGTTCGAAAATAAATTTTCCATGTATAGCAAACGCATGAGCCAAGTATTAGAAATTTTATCATTTTAGAGGCATAAATTCGAGACGAGCTCTCGGACGAATTTAGGGGACCTAAAAATGAATATGTGAACGGTTTATATAAAACGCCGAAACTTCTTAAAATATAAATTATAATTAAGACGCCAACAATGAATCTAGAAAAGTAAAAATATTTTAAATAAAAATCGACGAATTTTCAATGCATACAAGTATGTTATTCTTTGAAAATTATTTACCAGAAAATATAGTGAGGAATAATTGCTATAAAATTAGGTATCACTCATCCGTGTTTAACGCATAAACGCGAAGGAATTGACGGTAGACACATAATTTTCTCTATCCACCCAATACTCGTAATTATGTACGGTGGTAATACGATACAAGTGTAAATAGAACAAGTATATTATACTCGAGGTTTGATTAATTTTTTTTTTCTCCATTGCTTCCCAATTTTTTCCATCGATCTCGAATCAACGAATAAATCGATGTCAGAAAATAATATCTATTTGGTAATATTATAAATAGGTTTGTACTTGCGTCCATATACGAGTAGTGCATTATTCCAATATTTAGAACAATTGTTTCAATACGTTATTACCGATTTTTAAAAGTATTACTTTTTCAGGTGATCCCAGTTTTATATTAATTTTTACATCATATTTTCTTCCATGGCGATGAAAGTTACAATTGTCATATTGTTATATACATATCTATGTACGGAACAACGAAAAAGAAAGAGGAAAATTTTAAATTTTATATAAAAATATGAGGTTAAGAAAATATAGGAACACGTATTCATCGTGGTAAAACATTAAATAGTATTAGTTATTTGTACATCATTGGTGTTTTTTTTTTTTTTCAAAGCATAACACATAAGTAGCATAAATAGGGAGGGGAAGCTTGAAAGGTTTCAGCTTCCACAAAATGTTTTCATGCTCCTTTACAATTAGATACTATCAAACTATTTTTTAAATGTTTATAAATGTATAAACATATTATGTTAGTTTAATGGTAAGTCAGTATCCATAACTCATGATCTAATGCGAATATTAGAGAGGAGTTTTTTACGTTATATTTGAGGAATGGCTTATCTTTTACAGTGACTTTCAAAAAAAAAAATTTCAAATAATGTTCTACTTTTTTTTTTCAACATTTAAATTGGTGCATTATATACAACTCTGTAATCATGGAATTTGAGAAAAAACGTTTTGAAATTTATTACATTTTTATGACCAAAAGCAATTCATATTATAATACAATTAATTTTAAAAGTTTTAATTTTCCAGTTTTAGTACTAATCTAATCAACGCGAATCAATGTATCGATAAATCTTTATTTTATTTTATGTTAAATATTTAATTCTATGTTGCATTCGTTTAAAAGTAACCATAAATTAATATGTACATTGATTAATGATCATTTTAAAGTATTTCGTACGTACATATAAAGCAATAAGGTATAAAAAATAAAAATGTGTTTCCAAAATGATCAATTTTATAAAAATATAGCGTATATATATGCAAATACGTATATGTAATAATATGTTCTCTGCAGGGCATAAAAACATCGATTTTATCGTAGTATATACACACAATAACTACAAATTAGTATAATTACTTTGATGAATCATATTAATTAACTTTATCGTATATACATTTATATATATATATATATATTTATTGTTACTGCATTGAGCCTATTAAATCCGTAAAATGTGATTAAACTGTATAATAAAATCGATTTCCATATTTAAAAATATATATAAATTGTAAGCTTTTTTATTGAGGAATGGAAATTAAATTAGGTGTGGTTTTCTATCATGTACGTATTGCGTGTGATCATATTTGTATGGGGCTAAGATGATCATAATGCGTTCATCCCAGTGTACGGGGTGATTTTAAAGTGTATAACGTCGATCATATCGGTATAATATTATTTTCCGTTTTATGACTTTCCAACACAGATACAAATTCTAGATAGCGTGTCCTGTATTAAAAATAATCATCCTGTTTACTACTTTATAATTATAGTTAATAATTCTTTTAAATAGTTTCATATTTTTGGTGCTGTAGTTTAAATTTAATTACATTCATTATTCTTTAAATGTGTATTAAAACCTTGTATTTGTACCGTGTGATTTAGAATCGAATGTGTTTAAGTCACATCGATAATAATTATAATATATATATATATATATATATATATAACATATATGATATAGTAATATGTTAACAATGTTTATTTTATTTCATTATAATCGTTGTACAGTGTATGAAATATATATTTGTTTCTCGGCAGCTCGCGTTTGAAATGTTTGAATATCGAGTACGACGCGTCAGTCATGACAAATAATTAAAATATTGTTTTTTATTTATCTTCAATTATTACGATGGTTTTTAATCAACACGACTAAAATATCAGACGGCTTGTGCATTAATAAATGTTGATCTCACAACATTCATGTTCGGATTTTCTTACAGAATATATTATTATAGGCGTGCGCAGCGATTGGTTTCAAGTGGAACATAGTTAATACCAGCTCATATTAATCGTTTTATTAGTCAGTTTAAAAACAACTTATATCGATATTTTACAATTTAATTGGCGATTCATTTTACCTCCCCATTGCGACGATTTTCAACAAAACAATAATTATTTATTCAAGCATTTAAGTGGAAATATCTATAACGTACGTAAACATTATTGAATTAATTACTTTACGGATGATTGAACAATTTACGATGGACAGTTTACTATTATTGTAAAGCGAGACATTTAATTAACACTTACCACTGTAAAGTTTGCCATCTTCCAAAATAATGGACCTTCCCTTGCACCCATGTACCTTTCCATGTTTTATGAAAATAAAATAATAACATCGAAAAAGGTCGATTATGTTTCTTATAATATATCAGAGGTCAAATTTACAGGGACCTATAATTTGCCGTCCATCTCACGCCTATAGGATACATATAATACACACACACATATATATATACATATATATGTATACGTACTTATAATTTGCTGGTATGGTTAGAGTTTTGGTGGAGGGGTAAACCTTGAGGTCGAAATATTTTTAGGTTATTTTCAAGAACCCAAGTAACCCGACACGTATGGTTTCGATACGTGTTCAGCTATATAATCATTATTTGTCTACGAGCCAACAGCGATTTGAAACGTATGTTACGCCATGTTGTTTCCGAAAACAAACGAAAACAAACGTAGGTGTACAATTATCGTAATGTTAAATACAAGTAAACTTCGATTATCGTATTTATCGCACGACGACGACGAGTAATGTTGTACTGTTGTTTTTAGCGAAACGCGTTACGAGTGTTTACGAAACGCGTGCGGTGGCCGCGCCGTCTGCGTAACGATAATAATGTTTATTAATATCTAACGACGGTACGTCGCTAATGTTGTAGCGCGTCAAGTAGGAAAACAGCGCATATTTTTACCGTCGTTACCATAACGCGGCGATAAAAATCGTAAACGCGCGGCGGTCACGAGTCGCGTTACAGAACCGGACGCGCGCGTGCAATACGCAAATGAACGTAACGCGCGGATGAGTTAACGGATAATCGACGCAATCGATCGCAATTGACGGGTCGAAAAGTACGCGTTTTCGACCCGTCGTCGCGACTGCGCACCCGCGCTCGTTAAAGGTACGCATCGTACGAAACGGATTTTAGAACTATTAGTATAGTAAGTTATACATATGCCGTCCACTGACCGGCAGGGGACGGATCGCACGTATTCGGTCCGTCGGTAACGCCGACGAAATTGATCGAACTTTTCCGACTGGTGCGGATTACGTCATACGGATTTCGCTACGATAATGCGAATGTTACTAAAAAAAAAAAAAAAAACCCGACCGTCGCATCGGCAACATGGTTGCTACCGGTACAGTGGACGCACAACCACAATTTGATCCGTTTCACACGATCCGACCGACACGTACAACGCGTACCTTAAAACGGCCGTGCGATACGCTCACGATATTACTGGAGGACGCGTTGGACACATCGGTTTTTTTTTTTTTCGTGGAACAATTAACGATCACGGTTATCGTCGTTCTCGGCGACGTCGCGCGCGCCTCTACGTGGCCACTCGTTTACGATCCGGCGGGCACCGGTGCGTCGTTCCCCGTTCAACGTGCAACGTGCACCGAACGCGCTTCGAAAACAATACCGCTTCAAGTGTAACGTGCACCGCGCGCTATGATAATTGTTCGCGCGCCGACGTGTTGTTTGTCGTACCGCGAGTCGACTGCGCGCGTTGTAAACACTGTGTAATACGTTTCACCGCCGAACGGACACCGTTCGCTGGGTCGGTTGACGTTCCGGTTGTTCGAGCGGTGCTTCGATGAAAAAATAATAATAAAAAAAAAAAAAAACCACCTAACGTGACCTAACCTCGTCGGTTTATTAAGCTTTAGGACTCCGGTGTAAATTACTCGCCGACCCCTGTGCGTTATTACCCCGTACGCGCTTGGTCGCTCGCGCGGACACGTGCGCGTAGCAGCAGCGTCGGGGGGGGGGGGGCCGCATATGTTGTACGGGCACGATGGCCGCGGATCGAATCCGTCGGTCGAAACGCGTGAAATAAACGCGCGCGTTCTTCTTGGCGGGTTCGCGTCGCGCACCGCGAACACGCTCTACCCGCCCGCGCAACGTTTCCACTCGCACCGTACGTGCGCGTGCGCGCCGCTGTTACGGGATCCCTTGGCGGCGCGCGGCTGTAGCGGACGACCGAAGCGAGAACGAGCGGACAACGTACGGCGGATTGGTGCGGATCGTTATTTTAAACGCAAGTTAGGTCTTCGTGGTACATATTATTATTATTATTATTATTATTATTTACTGCAATGGTATGATTTAAATGTTATACTTACGGACGATCCCCATTTGCAATGCTTTACCCATTTCTTCTGATTCTTCGACGATGATTTCTTCTCTAATACTCGAATTGTCCATACATTTATCGTCAATGTTTCCTGTAATTTAACAAGAAAAAAAAAAAAAAAATACTAAGCTGTAGAAAGTGAAAGAAAAAAAAAACGTATACGTGTACGCATGCACTAACGTACGCACGCCGTGGACGAAGAAGACACGAAAACGAAGACGAGACGATTGCTTCGGTAACGAACGTGGAAGACGCGAATATTATGAAATGGTTTTTATATTGAAATTACAATAATTAACATAGGCTTTGGTGTGTGCACCACGAAAGTTTTATTATATCTCAGCGCGCGGCTAATTAAACAGAAGAGAGAATATTAAAAAAAAAAAGAAAAGAGGAAAAAAAACCGGTTTGATTGAGAACCAGTTAATGTATAATATTCATATGCGCTTCCCTTTCCACCACACGAGCGTCCGTGCACGACTGTACCTCTAAACAATATTATTATCATTAAACATTAAACATGCTATCTTTTACGCATTCAAGGACTCTTCAACGCCCATGTATTTGCGTATCGGTGCACGGACTTAACTTACAGACGACGACGACAATGAATTTATAATAATAATATCAATAAATGCTTTGGCAATATTTTTTGAGAACTCAACATATAATCAAGTATATAAAAGTTAATAATATAAAATATATTATTAACGCGTTAGGTTTTTCGTGTATTCTATAAACGTATGACGTGTGATATGTATGACGTCTCGAAGATATTCAGCCCGTCGTTGGTAGAGGCTCATATACACACCTATTGTAAGATTTTTGTTTAGAATTAGGTTTCAAAAAACATTTTTTTTTTCTTTCATTATAAAATACAACAATTGTTCGTCTTCATATGATGTATAAAAATGTCGTTTCTTAAGTATCCAATTTACATATATACAGTTTTTAATTTTAACCAAGACGTTGTTTTTATACTTTCAGTACATTATTATCTTCATTATCTCCATGAACACATTAATAGGCGGTTGGGTATAAGGTTGACGTGCTAATAATGATAGTGAAAGTTAACATGACAAGTAACAATTTAGATATTATTTTAAATATTAAAACACCGTAATAATATTACTACATGTGCGTGTGTGATTAAGAAATATTTATACTGGTCTACCGTACGCATGAATGTCGTCGATATGTGTACTGGGCGTATTTTATTAAATTTTCTTAATAATTTAAATTTAACGAATTTTTTAACGCACACCACACTACACGAGTAATTTACATAGGAATTTAAAATCAATGCCATACCGTCTGTTTTTTTCACTGATATTTTCTACAAGACTCTTTTACTGTACTGACACAATAGAAAATGTCGTGATCATAATAATAGTGTTTTAGAGTAAATATATATATATATATATAATACGCACCAGGTTATTTATCTAACGTTAAATATTTGAATTTCATTTAAAGTAGTATTTTTGAAAAATTAATTTATAAAATAAAATCATCACACAAAATACTTTTTAAAAACAATTAACTCATCTTTTTCTCGTCATTATATGATTTCGAGTCCGTTAATTGTTTGTAATTATTGTAGATTATGTTCTGAAGGTGAGTATTTTTTTTGATATAAAATCCAATATCGAAACAGTAGCTGATCACTTATAGAGATAAATATTAAAAGTTTCGACGGGTGGGAGTGAAGTGGCAGCGGTAATGCTTCGCAAAATACTTGTGTGTCACGCCCATCATTTTCGATACATATTCTCTACATTAAGGACCTATCGAACGTCGAAATATTTTACTCTTACCACCCGAAATAATGTCAGTCGTAAAATAAAAAATGATGTTATTATTAACATTGTGATCCAGGTCTTCCTCTCTCCTTATATTATAAAAATATATACACGAAATGTATATAAACTAAATACTATTTCGATTTCTGAGAATTGTTTGTAAGACCTGTTTACAGTTCGAAAAGGTATACATAAAATACTAAATTGGAATTCTTTTTGGTTATATGCATATTATCTATAGGTTTTAAATATTAACATAAAAAAAAAATAATTATAATATTAATAATAATGGATTTGTAAAATAGGAGGGAAAAATATTCGAGTAGTGATACTTGTTGACGGCGATGTGTGATTTTAATAGAAAACAAGGTATATTAATATGGTATGTTAATAATTTTTTTTTTATCATTTACGTTGTATTTTTTAGTAGATATTTATATATATAAATAAGTTGCACAAATATCCTTGGAACTCGGAATAATTTTATGCTTATTCAACGCATTTCGATGATAATAATTGTTATTTATTTATAATTAAAAGTATTGAATTATGAATTAGTTAAGCATATATTTTGAAATTAATAAAATTCAAAGTGATGTTTTCGAGAAATGTTAAACTGAACCATGATTTGAAAATAAAAGCAAGAAGGATGTTATAACTAAGAAAAATGCACCATTTTAGTAAGGATTTGCTATAGATTTTGAACAAATACAAATTTGGGGTTTTCAGGTCTCCCAAATTTTAGTCATACATGTATAATGACGTGTGACGTTCTACCGCAAAAACAACCGAATGCTCATTTTACTCCAAAAAATATTGTAATATAATAATTTGTATTTTGTTATTGCATTGCTGTAATGTTTTTGACAAGAGAAACAAAATAAAAATAATTTTTATCTAATTTATATATTTCACATATATTAAATTTAAATTTAACTAATACAATAAAAAATAAAATGATGTATGGACGTATATAATACTATCGTTCTTAACTGAAATGGACGAAATTGAAATTTACAGTTAATTTAAGTATGAAATATTCACTTGGTGTTGTACACAAATAGTTTAACATTATGTTATACAAGTACTAATTTCATTTGTCACAAAACTATCTAACCCATAGTTGTGTCAGAAAAAAAATATCATTATCTTTAAGCTTGTTTCATTCGATTCGAGGTAATCGGTAAAATAAAATTCCGGTATCAAAGATTGTTATGACTATAAATCCGAGTGGATCGATGGGAAACATGTAGTTTTCATAATAATTAATTGTACTTTTAATTTCTATCAAAAAGCCATTCCCTTTAAATTTTAACACCTCTGTATGGATCAAAAATTAAACACGATTTCTTAAAAGAGTTATTTTTTAATTTTATAAATATATTTCAAAACAATCACGATCAACTATCAAGTAGGAATTATAAGTTACTCGTAAGTTATATGTTTATCTTATACAAATAATTCTTTGCCTTTTGGTTGAATAGTGTATTTGCTAGCAGACCATCATAATATCAGACTAAAGTTTCAAATATTTAATTAATCAGATATTAAAATTGTTGATCGTCCTAAATTCATATATACAGTATAATATGTAAGATATTAAATCAATAATTTCCTATTTAAGCACTTAGTGCGGTTCCATTATGAAATACATAATTACAATCATTTAATATAATTTTCTTTATTCTTGAGGATGGGCTTTCCATAAATGCAATTTTTTATATAATTTAATACTATTTCAATCAAATAATTATCATTATTATTCAAATTTACCATATCTATGTAACTGTAAAAATACATTAATGTACAAAATGTAAACAAAAAATAATATTAAGTATTGTTTAAATTGTTTTAAATTTAAATGACTGACATTTCATATTTGCACTTATAATATAATTAGTCACCCCAGCTAGAAATCGTTCTGCAACCACAAGAGGTCGAACATTCAATTATGTCTTAACCTCAAAAAATGAGTCAGTAATATCCCCTCCGGATTCTACTTACTGGCCTTCCTATAGTAATAGTCTACCTGATATCCTCGACATATTCATTGCGAAAATACCAAATCACCTTAATACAAACGTAACAAACCTAGAAAATGTCTCCTCTGATCACACCCCAATCTACATGGAGCTAGATGCCATGCTTATTAAATTTACTAGGCCATCTCCCACTCCTAGCTGATCAATTTGGTCTAAATTTAGAAATTTAGTCTCCAACAAAATTAGCATCCAATCATCCTTAAAAACTATTTTTGAAATATACAAAGCCGTTCAATTTCTAACTACCTTATTCCAAGATACTGCCCTGGCTGCTTCAGTATATGATTCCTACCCCATAAATAACTCAAAAACCTCTCTTCACATCCAGCATTTAATAGTTGAAAAGCGCAGAACTCTAGTCCAGTGGCAAAGATTATAATACCTCATAGACAAAGCAAGACTAAATTATTTGAAAAACAAGCTTATCAGAGTTATTCAAAATCTCAAAAATGAAAGTTATTACTCTTAAATTCAAAACTTCTCAACAAAATCTCCACATTGTTGGAAGGCTACAAAAAAATTTTATATTATAAGCAGTTATTTCCCCCATTTTGCAAGCCTAACAATTCATAGGCCACCACTGACACAAAAAAATCCAATGTTTTTGTATCTCACCTCACTAGTGTTTTTAAGCCTCATAACATTAGTCCAAACAGAATTTATCTTGCACGTATTAAATAATCTATGAATTCCCCCTTTATTCAGCTTACCCAGCCAAATACAAAAATTCAGACGAAGCACATTATAAAAGAACTATAAAAAAAAGCCCGAGGTCACAGATTAGCCTGATGAGGAACTTTATAGTTAAAAATCTCCATAAAAAAATCTGTTATCTTTCTCACTCTCATATTCAACTCTTTATTTCATCTATCCTACTTTCCAGACACCTGAAAACATTCAAATATAATTCTTATCTCTAAACCCAATGAACCACCTCAACTTCCCACCTCTCATAGATCAGTCAGTCTCTTCCCAACCTTTTCAAAATTGTTTAAGAAAATACTTTTGAAAATACATTTACTGCTGTCGGAAAAATCTAAAATCATTCCTAATCACCAATTTGGGTTCAGAGTCAAATACTTTACCACCCATTTACATCAATAACACAATAATCCTGACCTCAAACAACAACTCCTAAACTGTGTCCTACAGGTTATAAAATTACCTAAACATGATCCAGATCTGGTATAAATAATGGAAGATTAAAATAAATGACTCCAAACCTTCTTTTATTGAATTTTTACTAA